AAAAGCCCCCCCAGCCAGTGGTGCATGGAGGGAAGACATGGACCATTGCAGAGCCTTAGTGGAGGAGAAGAGGCTGGGCCTAAGGGCTTTGGTTACCAGCCACAGGGAGTGTGGCAGCCTTAGGGGTCAATAGTGTCTCATGTGTACAGAAATGGATTTGATGTCTTCTTGGCCAGTTTTTATCTCAGGGAAGCGGGCCCGGCACCCTGTCAGCCCTCAGCTCTGTCTGAGAGCCACAGCACCAGGAGAAAACTTTTCCCCCACAAAGAGTGAAGACCCAGAGCAGTCTGTCCCAGATCTGCTTGGTCTTCACCCCGTAGATGATGGGGTTCAGCGTGGGGGGCAGCAGGAGGTACATGTTGGCACTCAGAATATGAAAATACAGGGGCATGTTCTCTCCAAAGCGAGACGCAAGTGAGTAGAAGAGACGTGGGATGTAAAAGGCCAGCATGGCCCCCAGGTGGGTGCCGCACGTCCCAAAGGTCTTGAGCCGGGCGTCCTTGCTGGGGAGTTTGAAGATGGCCCGGATGATCTGGAAATAGGACAGAACAATGAAAACCACGTCCACACCGGTCACAAAAAAGATAACAAAGAGTCCATAGTAGCTACTGACTCGGATGTCGGCGCAGGCCAGGCTCACCACGGCGAAGTGCTCACAGTGCGTGTTGGGGATGATGTTGGTTCTGCAATATGGCCACTGCCTTGCCAGGAAGGGATAGGGCAGGACGATTATACTGCCACGCAACAGCATGGCAAGACCAAGCTTGGACACTACATGGTCTGTCAGGATAGCAGAATGTCTCAGGGGATGGCAGATGGCCACATAGCGATCCAAAGCCATGGCCACGAAGAGCCCTGATTCAGTCATGAAGAAGCCTTTTATGAAGAACATCTGGGTGAGGCAGGCATTAAAATCAATCTCCCTGGAATTGAACCAGAAGATGCTCAGTGTTTTTGGCAGGATGGACGTCACCAGAACCAGGTCGGTGACAGCCAGCATGCAGAGGAAATAGTACATGGGCTCATGGAGTCTTGGCTCTGTCATCACGATGCATGGGATGGTGAAGTTCCCCAGGAGGGCTATGACGTACATGGCGCAGAAGGGGATGGAGATCCAGACATGGGCCCACTCCAGGCCAGGGATGCCCAGCAGGATGAAGGTGGAGGGGTTGGTGAAGTGGGTTGTGTTGGGATCTGACATGGCGTAGGGGAGAAGGTGCCCAACTCTGAAGCAGAACGGTGTCTCTGGCCTGTACCGTACGTTACCCTGACTTCCTGTATGTGCTGGTTCGGGTGCAGTTGTTGAAGCACAAATGCCTTGAAGACAGAGAGAGTGTTACTGAGACACAACACGTGCTACTGGTGGCTGTTTTCGTGAAGTAAGCGGGTTGATCGCTCTTCACACACTGAAACACACTCGCTGTCTGGACTCCCGCATTCCCCCTGTTGCTCAGCATCTGAGAGTGAGAAAAAAACACTACAGAAACCAATTTGTTTCCAAGGGAACAATGCAGAGAAAACAGGTGTCTACAGAGCTGAGGCATTTCAGTGAATCAGAGAAAACATTCAGCTACAAAAGGAACAATCAACCATGTCGTCCTTGAGAGGCACTGAACACGGGCTAACGACCATCAGAAGCAAGACACGGCTACATTTCTTCTACGACCATCAGAGCATACTGTCAATAGGCCTTTGTCAGTGAATGGGGGTTGTGATGCGGGGGTGGTCACAGAAGACCCTTTGAGGTGCTTCCTGGAGTGCTGACAACGCCACTAACACTCACTTTCTTGCTCTCTCGGGCTTCTCACTGTCCAATCCTGCTGGGACAGCTCCCTGGTCTCCTCCAGCCAATGCACAGACCAGAGCCAGGGCCGGCCTTACCATGAGGCGAACTGAGGCGGCCACCTCAATTGCCAGACTGTGGGAGGAAGCCACTAGGACCCAGAGTGTAGAAAATTGTGTCTGTTGCTGGTGCAGAGGCATTCTCTCCACTCTAGATGCACAGAGATGGGGGAGTGCTGGAGGAAGGAGAGCACAAGAGACCTTTCAAAGTTTGGGCCCAATCCAGGCGGTAATGGGGCATCATTTGAGCTCTCTGCCTCAGGTGCCAAAATATTGTGGGACGGCCCTGAGCAGAACTCACGGCCACCCCCACGCTCCTCCCGAGGAGCAGTCCAGACACTGAAACTTTTCAGGTCCAAGGAAAGTATCGTGTTGAGCCCAGCTTCCAAAGACACCTTTCCCCAACTGGGATCAGAACCCCTAAGGAATGATTTAGAATCCTCGGGCTGGAAGAGACCTCAGGAGTCATCAAGTCCAGCCCCCTGCCCAAGGCAGGACCAATCCCAACTCAATCATCCCAGCCAGGGCTTTGTCAAACCGAGACTTAAACACCTCTAGGGATGGCACCTTCCTAGGGAACCTATCCCAGTGCTTCCCCACCCTCCTAAGGAAATCGTTTTAGATTTAGGCCAGGTCCTTTAAGCAATGAAAGGGGAATGTGCAGACTGGTTGCTCCCGCTAACAATCATTACTAAGTACAGGGAGCAGGATTGAAGTGATTGTAAGTGAGAATGGGCAGAGTAAAGTAGATTACAAATTATAAATAACAAAAACCACGTAGATAATTCTAACATACACTTTAGCTGGTTACAAAGCCCCACAAAAATGGTTCTTGTTCCAGCTAAGCCTCCAAAACTAGGGAAGTCTCCTTTTCCCACGGCGCGAATTTGCATAGCTTCTTCCAATCCCTTTTTCGGAAGAGTTCTTTAAAAAGAAAAAAGCAGTCGAGACGGGGGTGTTCAAAAGAACCCTGAAAACCACATTTTTCAAGAAGGGTTCTTTTGAAAACCCCCATCTAGACTGATTTTTTTCTGGAAAAAAATCTTCCAAGAAAGGGATCAGAAGAACATATGCAAATTCTCACTAAATTTGCATATCTTCCTTTGAAAACCACAGGCGATGTTGACTTGCCCTCCGAGTGCAGAAGCTGGGGTCCCGCAAAGAGCTCAAACCTTTGCCTCTACGGGCTCTGGTTACAAAAACTTCCCCTACGAATCCTAATACACAGATTTTGGGGAATTGCTGCCTTCTCCAAGTGCTTTTTATGCCTAAAACTAGGGGTTGTCATTTAAGCTTGGAAAAAGACAAGAGAAAAACAAGCAGCAGTCTCCGGTAGCTGACCCCTCCGTCAGGCTATGGCTGCACTGCTGTTTTTTTCTGGAAGAACATGTTCAAATACCACTCTCATTTTTTATATCTTCTTCTGATTCTTTTTGCAGAACAGATTTTTCCAGTATTTGGCCCTGTATAGACGGGGCCTAATGTCAGACAACCCCCATCTTTCATAAGACTCTGTAAACCTTGATGTATAACGAATAAGGGGTCTTGCAAAAGAAGGTTTTTTTTCACATTTCACCCATCTATATGGGGCCAAATACCGGAAAAACCTCTTCCGCAAAAAGAATCGGAAGATGATATGCAAATGAGAGCATGATTTGAATATCTTCTTCCAGAAAAAGACAGCAGTGTAGCTATAGGTTCAGGGTATGTCTAGACTGCATCCCTCTATCGGCAGAGGGATGCAGATTAGGCAGGTTGACATGGCTAAGAAAGCGGGGATTTAAATATCCCACGCTTCATTTGCATAAAAATGGCCACCACGTTTTGCCAACTCGGCACTGTGTTGCCAAAAAGTGGCAGCCTGGAGGGGGATCTGTTGAGAAAAAAAGCCTTTTTCGACAGATTCTTTATGCCTCCTGCAAGGAGGTTTCCAGGATCTGTCGAAAAAGCCTTTCTTTCTCAACAGATCCCCCTCCAGACTGCCGCTTTTTGCTAAAAAAAGTGTCACGTCGGCAAAAAGCGGCCGCCATTTTTATGCAAATGAAGCATGGGATATTTAAATCCCTGCTTCATTTGCAATGTCGACCTACCTAAATCTGCATCCCTCTGCCAACAGAAGGATGCAGTCTAGATATAACCTCAGCCTTCGTCTAGACTGCAAGCCTCTTTCGAAAGATACTTCTGAAAAAGCTTCTTTTGAAAAAGAGCCTCTAGCCTACAACCAGTACTTTCGAAAAAGCAAGCTGCTTTTTCAAAAGAGAGCACTCAGGCAGTCTGGATGCTCTCTTTCGAAAAAGCACAGTTTGCATTACATAGCACCATTTTTCAAAAGAGCGCTTTCGAAAAAAGGCGTTATTCCTCATGAAATGAGGAGTACCGCCGTCGAAAGAAAAGCCACGTTCTTTTGATTTAATTTCAAAAGAACATGGCTGTAGTCCAGACGCAGGTGAAGTTTTTCGAAAAAAGGCTACTTTTTTCGAAAAAACCCTGCATTCTAGACACACTGTCAAAGGCTTGCAGATACACACACACACACACACACACACACACACACAGCCACACACACAGCCACAGACCTTCCAGGACACAAGAATCACATCATCACCTGAAAAGACGTTTATTACAAAACATAAGATAAACTTGATGCAGCAGACTTGAATTGGTGCTATTCCTCATGGAATGAGGTTTACCAATTTCAAAATAAGCCCTCCGCTTTTTCAAATTAATTTCGAAATAGCAATTAACTTGTGTGGATGCTAGGAAAGTTATTTTAAAAAAAATAACTTTGCTGTGTAGGCATACCCTCTGTGTGTCTCAACTCCTGGTTTCTCTCTCCCACACAAAGAAAGCAGGCAGGGAACCTAGATCCAATTCAAATGTCAACCCTCTATCTTGATTGGCTCTCCCGGTCCCCTGGCCCACACCTTTGCTAGGTACTTGAGTTAACCCCTTAGTCACCGGGTGCTGGTCAGCCTCCTCCTGTTCATGACACCTGGGGTCGTCAGTTATCTTCTTGGGCGTGCCACGCCAGCCAAAGACAAAGAGACGGCTCGTTTCCCATTGTTTTATAGATCCCACTTTGGGCAGGAGTTCTGTTTCTACATCTCCCCCTTCGGTGGCAAGTTACCTGGCCAGCCCCTATTAGTTAAGGAGGTCACGTGACTTCCCAGGACTGCTAAGACTTAAAGGACAAAAGATGACCTGACCTTGAGGGAAACCCCCTTGGTGGCTTGCCTTGGACATTTAAAACCACAAATCATTCTATCCCTACGCCGCAAAGCTAACTTTCCACACAAGGATGGAACACTCTCCAAAATCATATGAGCAGACCCAGCGGATTCGGACATGAGGACTGATGGGTTACATGAGGCAATTTGCTCCAAGCATCTTTGAGTGAGGCATCTTTGGGTCCATAAGCCCATTTCAAAAAGCACGAGGGGGGGTCCCCACAGTTTGGTTCAGCCGGGATCAGTTCTAGGCCTGACACCCTTCATTATTTTTATGAATGAACTGGAAGCAAATAGGAAATGGTTGTGGATGAAATTTGCAGACAGCCCAAAGATTTGTGGAAGGGTGACAGTGAGGAGGTCAGGGCAGGCACACAGACTGACTGGCAGCATTTGGGGTATGTCTAGACTGCACCCCTTATGCCTCGTGAAACAAGGTGCACAGGATCTATCGGAAAAGGCTTTCTTTAGCGATAGATCACCCTCTAGAATGTCGCTTTTCTCTGACAAAGGCTTGTGCTGAAAAAAAGAGCAGCCATTTTTATGCTAATGAAGCGTGGGATATTTAAACCCACGCTTCATTAGTAATTTCGACCAGCCTAATTTGCATTCCTCTGCCAGCAGACGGGTGTAGTCTCAACATACCCTTGGTGAGCTGGTCCCAGGCAAACAAACTGTCCAATACAATCACATGCAAAGTTATCCTAGTGGAACAGGGCCTCCAAGCCCGGCCCACAGACACGGGATCACAGGGGCCTTGAAAGGGAATTAGATTCAACGTGGACACCCAGTTCATCTCGGGCTCCCAGTGTGATCCCAGGGCCCTAAGGGCTGATGGGATCCTTCGGTGAACAAACAGGGGGGTGGTGAGTTGCAGCAGGGGGAGGATTTTACCTGTCCCTGGCACCGGTGAAACTGACAATGTGCAATATTGGAGGGCCACGTTTCCAGAAGGCTGTTGAGAACTCGGAGAGGGTGCAGAAAAGATCCACCAAAATGTTTGGAAGCTGGAGAACATGCAGGA